TAAAACCCTTTTATAAAAAAAAGATTTTATTTGTCATATGTGATTTTAAGTAAAAAAAATGAGATTTTTGATATTTTTTATTTAGACTGCATGTGTAAAATAAACAAAATTTTAGGGGTCGGGAAAAAGATATGAAAAATATTTGGTTTTTTTTTTTAAATATTATTTTAGTAAGATTTCTTTGAGTGCACTTGACGTTAACTGTGACACCAGCGATAACCGAAGTCTTGCTTGTTTTGTGCTCAAACCAGCAGCATCGAGAGAGTTGCGTGTTTATTTTTTTCACCTCAGACCCACTTCCATTTTCTTTTCATTTTTTTTTAACTTTCAGCTATCGTTGGGTGGATTTGTGGGCGGGTGTATTTCGGCTGTTTGTGCCCAAAAAGAGGGGAGGGGTTTGTATTAAAGAAACATCTGGCAGAACGCCCCTTTCCTGCCTGGGGCAACGCCTTTTCCCTCGTCCTTCTAAAATTTAATTTAAAGGCTCAAGATGGACAAACAAGTGCACCGGAAATCAGGGGCGTTGGCCCTATTTATGGGCGTGGCTGCAGCGGAATTGACACAGAAATTAGCGTGTGACCAGGCCTTAATTGTGGGCGAAACTATGGGGCACAATGGCGGCCTTGTTGACCAACTTGGTCCAAGATTTAGTGTAAACAGGCAGCAAGTCAGGGGGCATTGGGAAGTTTGACCAGACCCCTTGAATATTCGGGGGCATCAAGGGGTTAAGGCCTTTGTTGAACCTGTCGCTCGAGGGAGAAGGACCTTTTGTCAGATTTAAACACTTTCGGACACTTGAGTTTGGCCCCCGTTATTGAGACTTCACTTTAAATTAACATAATTCCTCCTTTTCTATTTTAGATTCCTTTTTTTTGGAGACCCTTCGATCGTAATAGAAAGTAATGCGCTTTGTGCTTCGACCCGTTGATGATTATTATAAGTTTCGTTTTGGCCGTCCTTTTTATTGCTCAACCTGGGTTCGTCCATTAACCGAAATGAGTGCAATTCAAAATAATATTAAAGGACCCAACTGGGATGACACTTTCGACGGAACCAAAAACTTTCTCTCCCAGCAGGACATTGCTGCTGATTGTTTTGCAAAGATTCAGAGATTCAGAGATTCTGACTCTGATTCGCACCCGGGATTTTCGGCCTTCGTATGGGGATTCGTTCATCGACAACTTTGGCCGGCCAAAAATCATAAATCTTTTTAATTTCATTGATCAACTTTTGGCCGGCAGAAACTTTTTCCGGCCCCGAGGAAAGTTTCGCACTCGACTCCCTCAGGACATATTTTGCCTGACATTTAAATCGATGGCAGATAAATATTAAACTTAAACTTCCAATTCATTGCTGAAAAATTATGTGTGGCTCTCGAGTTTGCTGGCCTTTTTTTCACTTGACGGAGCAGCAATAAAAAATCATATTTAATGGGGAACAACATCTCCGCAGGGGTTACAGGAAAGCATAACGGAACCGGAAAATAAATAAATGCCATCGAACAAACAATGGCAGAACGGCGATTGGGTATAGTTGTGGCTCCGAAAGTCCCGATAAGGAAGCTTATAAATTGAAACAAAGTGGACAATGATTGGAAAAATTAATGGGGCATACAGTCTATCCAGAAAATGGAACTTTTCCAAGGTTACTTAAGGAAAATAAGTGCTGTACAAGTAAGAAACAGGGGTATATTGAATACTGGGCTCCGATATTTCTTAGAAAACAAATATAAATTCAGTGTTTTCTGCTTCCCTAAAGTTAATACACAATACACATTGACCTTAATAAAGGTAATACTTTATATATGGTATATGATTTATAAAACGATGAGTTTATTTGGTAAATATTCTCATTGAAGTAAAGAAAAGACATTACTATTATAACATTTACAACATCTTAAAAAGTAAGCAGAATCCTTTCATTAAAAGTATAAGCTAATAACAACATTCCTTTTAAGAAAGAAGGGTCAACTTTTAACGAACAAGCCCCGTTCCTTCATGGAAAAGTCAGATTTCCCAGCTCACGTCCTTTGCAGCACCATTTCCACAGCTTACACATTCCCACTCGTTAATAACTTTTCATGTTGTGAAGGAACAGCATCCTCGCCTGTTTCTGTAAATAACTTCTGAGAAAATGTTTGCGCAGTATGCAAAACTTTTCGATTGTGGCAATCGTTCCTTGGGCGCAACACACGTGCATTCTGGGATTCCGATTGCGGAATTGATTTAAGAACTTCATAAATAGGTCGAAAAAAATAAAACGAGAGTAATGAGAAACGCTGATTTCCTTTCGCAAAAACTATTGACAGCTTGAGTACGGCGCTCAGCGGGCGTAATTCAATAAATCCAATGGATGCAATTCAAAGGGACTGTCCTCGCAATCCTTTCATTCAAGAGGGACTTAATATATACAGTTTTCACAATGGGAAAGCCTGTTTTTACGCTTGTCGAAAGGCATTTCCATTCCGTCCTGTGCGATGCTCGCCTCTCACTGGATCATTTAAGAAATATTTAATTTGCAGAAAATGAATTATAAATGCAATTTGCAGGCAGCTCTATTTCTTGTTTCGCCGCCGCCTTACTTATGATGATGCGTCTTTGTCCTCCGTTGGCCCAGTCAGAGAATTAATTACGCTGCTGCAAGTTGATTCCCGCCATGGATGTGGACGCGAGTGCGGATCCGGATGCGGATGCGGAAGTCCTAGTGCCAATGCGACCGCAACTGACCCAGTTGTTTAATTGAATTGAAGCCATAAACACTTGGAGTAGGACCACCACCACGACCGCAGCCACACAAAAACGGCACTGAGAGCGTTGGTTGGGAATGAAAAATGGGCACGGGCAGGAGCACTCGCTAAATAACTTTAATTAGTAGTGCGAATGCGGCCATCAATCACCTTCCCCGTTTGCCAGTGGGTGGGAGAGGGGCGGGGAGGGGCGGCGGAAACGGAAATGGCAAGCGGAAACGCCAGCGGAAGCCACGTGGCCATTGCTAAGCATTTTGACAGCTGCGCCTGTCGCTTATGCAACAAAGCTCACACACTCGTGCACTGTGCCGAAAATATACGTTTCTCAGCTTGGGGATTCAAATCGGGATTAGGCATTCACATATTCAAAAGTTCATTGATCTAAGCATGTTGTTAAATAATTTATTACAGATTTAAATGCAAGCCATTTAAACATGAATTTGTGATTTTATCAATGTGAAGATGTGGTTAAAGGATTAAATTACAGTCAAAAATTATAAATAATATGCTTCACGAAAGATCCTTTTTGTTCTTACTTTAAATTAGTCAAAATAAATTATTGTAAATCAAGTTTTAGATTTTACTAAATATTCAAACGGTTTTAAAATCTCCAAATCTAATTTCTTAAATCAAGAGTAGATCAGCAACAGATTTTTAAAATATTTTTATTTTTGTAATAGTTTTATAATTATGCCACAAATTAATTAACAATTAATAGGATTTATGAACATGCCTCATATTATAAAAACCATACTGTAGTTAAACTTTCATCCAATTTAACAGTTCTAGACTGAACTTCCTAATTCGCAACCATGCAAGTTTTCACATTTTTTTTTCCTGTTTATCCACGCACTGCGATGTGTGCCAAAAAATTAAAGAAATTCGAGAAAGCGAGAAATTAATCAAATTGCAAATTTCATCAGCGTGGCAAGCAAAAACAAGTGCAGATGTGGCGAGCGGAGGAGCTGGCGTTTTCGGCGAGTGCCAGGCAAAGTTGTTGACATCTTCTGAGCCAACACGTACCGCCAGCACCAACAAAAACACACACAAAAAGTAGTAAACACTTGACGGGAGCAGCAGAAACAACACGAGCAAACAGCCACTAGTGCCAAAGAGATGGAAGGACCGGGACCGGGACTGGAGCTCCGGCAAATGTTTGCTTAAAAATGATGCGAGCCCCACGAAAAGCAGGAGAATTTCGGTATGAAATGGTATGGTATGGTATGGGATGAGATCTGGATGGGGGAACGGGGGCGGATGCTTCTTCTGCTCCTGACAGATGCAAGACGCGTTGACAGTGACAAAGACAATGATGACAGCGATGGTTATGTTGGGGCTCATCATCATGGCCATGTGGGGGATGTGGGAATGGAGGCCGGCATTTGGCATAATCCTGCTGACAAAATGTCATTACACCATCTACATAGTGAAGTTGCCTTTTGAAGTTTTCCGAGGAGGAGGTTGGCATCATTGCAAGCTTAAATAAATAAATACGCTACCCGCTGACAGCCAAAGTTTGCACGGTTAGCATGTGCTGAAGTCTGGGCATTTCCATATAAAGTGGAAAGAAGTTTTCAAGAAATATTTGCGCAATTACAGTCATATTTGAATAGACGAAGACGGTCCTGGTGTTACTTCCTACTACTCCTTAAATGGATCTCCTCTTAACTCTGAACTCTAAGGAATTTTTTTCTAAACCAACCTGAATTTTAAATCAAAATTTTACTAATAGCACATTTTCCTATCTTAACTGAAATTGTTTTCTTAAAATTCCATTTCCAGCCACATTCAATAAGTTAAAAATATTCGTCAGGACATCATAATTAGATTTAAACCTTATCCTATTTTGGTTTTTAAATAATTCGTAACCGATCAGGGATCGCTTATACAGTTTCAAAAGCGCTGTTTTACCCTTTTTAAATATAACATATATAATACGATCTTAACATTAAAACTTAATAATAAAAATATCATTTCATACAGAGCACATTTCTTAAGATATTTTAATGACAGCGGAATACATATAATTTGTTATCCCACAGTTACTTAAGATCACAGAACAATTTAATTATTGCATAATATCGTACAACTTAATACTACAATTTTCAATTTACCCTATCTGAGAAGAATATATCTTATGATTATGATAATAATATAAGTAGAGGGTAAATTCGTTTTTAAACGTTTAACTGGAAATGATACAATACGGAAGGATACTGAATATATAGGTATAACTCAGTTCCTGTTGACTTACCACCAATTTTCGGAGTAGTCCTTGTTCCGGAGTCTGTTTCGGCTACAGTTATTCCACTTTCCCCAAGAATCGGCAGTCACGCGAGTGGCCCAGTCATTGACAAATGGCCAGGGAGCTGCTTCTATTGTTTTATTTTTATTTTATTTTACTTCTCTACATTTCCAGAGCACTTTTCCTCGGCGTTTTTACCCCCGCCTCGCCGCGAATTGGCCTAGTTTAGTTTGGTCTAGTATTTGGTGTTGTTTTTCGGTTGGGTTTTCCGTGTGTTTCGGTAGGCCTAAGCCTCCACTCCGGCTGCAGTTTTGAGTTACTTGGCACTTGTCTAATGCCTTTGTCTGCTTTTCTCTTGCTTTTCCTTTGCTTTTCTTATGCTTTTTTCATGCTTATCTGCCAGACGGGCGACGCAGTGTCTTTGGTTGCACTTGAGGAAGCGTTATCTGGGTGGTGTGCGAGTGTGTGTGTTTTGTGTGGTTGAATTAGCGAGTGAGACACGAACTTTTGACCCCGTTTCGACAATAACAACACGATAAGAGCAGAGGCTTGGCTTCTGTTCTCCGGCTTTTTGAACCACTGGCCGGCCTTTTGGGCTTTTCAACACTCTGAATGCGTTTACATTTATGTCCGTTACTGTTTTGGGGATACCAAGGAATGCTGGAATTAAATTCCTTTCTATTTATTGATTTAGCAGAGAGCGATTGCCAGAATAATAATAAAACTCAGCCGTTTCCTATTTGATTTGTTTTACCAATCAGCTGAAAGGCTCACTAAAAAACTCTATTTCCCTTGCAGGATTTAAAACACTTTATCAATGTATTCGATTTACGCATCATTTGTTTGTAAACGTTTTTGTGGTATTACGAATTTATTGTTTTTCCGGCTTGTTTATTGATTTAGCAGGGCGTTATTGCCTCAAAAATAATGAATTGTATTCATTTCCGGTTCCTTTTTTATGGCCAATCAGCTGTCACACTTTGAATACTTTTTCTTCCCTTTCAGCTTAAAAAGAGTGGAATTACCATTAAGGTTTTTTTAGTGTTTAGCACTTTTTACTATAATGGCTCAAGTTTCGATTTGGGTTTTGCGCACGTTTCACGTAGCTAGCCGAAAACTGATGAAACATCCGTGAACATGACGTTTTTGCTCAGCCAGCGCCTCACGAACTGAATGGAAAAACTGCGAAAATACGCGAAAAGCCAGCATCTCGGCTCAGCTGTGATGGTGGTACTTTCGCTCTGGCTCGCTCTCTCTCTTTGGCGCCATCCGGAAAATTGCCCTTCTCCACGTGGCGAGCGAACAGCTGTTGCCTCAGATGTTCCACTGAGCATGCCCACAAGGAGCTCCTTGGGAAAACTGGGAAATTGTTAAGCTCCTTCGCTGGAAAATCGTTTGAGTGAGAACAGTTTTCCCTAACCATAAACGATTTTCCACCAACGCGTCACCTACAACTTGACAACCCACCAAATTGGAACCCAAAAGTTGGCGCGAAAGTCAACACTTCGCACATAAAGACATCTTTCCGCTTGGCCAACTTTTCGGGCCAACAAACTTTTCACATTACCAGAAAGCCCACATTTTTTAACCCACATTTGGCATCAATTTACCCATTACATAGGGTTAAGGGACCTCTATCGTTGTGAAGAAAATGGGAAACTTTTTAAAAACATTCCAAATTTTTTACTGAAGTTCGGTTAGAAGCTTTTAAAAACAATCCTAAACGTTCTCCCCATAAAATAAATATTTATTTTAAAAAAGGATTTATGATCCTTCTTAATGTTGTAAATGAAGAAAAATATAATTTAGAAATTAAAATTATACCATCTGACAGGATGTATCATAAAAAATCTTTTATATGCCAAGTAAAAATTGATTTCGTGAAAATGTAAGTATACAAATTAATAGAAAAATTAATTCAAATTGACAAAATAAAATACAAGGTTTAAAATAATTGACAAAGAAGATAATTAATACCATTGGTTGCAAGACCTCAGAAACCCCTTAACTGTTGTTAAAACAACCCGTTTTGATCATTACTTCTGTTTTAATTTTAGTTTTATATGTTAATTAATTACAAAACCCTAATGCACAAAAATGCAAAAAAACATCGAAACCCGCAAGCGCCGGCAGCGTTAGTGTTCAGCAACAATGGCCGTCGTGACCGCTGTGGTTGTGCGAATGACCATGTCCGCTCGATCTGTGGCCCACCTTGTCCTCCTCCTCGCCCGCCTGCTTCGAAGACTTGGCCTGATCCTCATCGGCGAACTCGCTGAGGTCGCGCCGCATGGCATAGGCATCCTCGCCATCGGCATAGTACTTCGGCTCCACCTCGATGATCTTGAACTTGAGGGCGTTGGTGTAGAGGTTCAGGGCTGCCCGATTGCTCTTTCTCACATGCAGCGAAACGTACTGGGCGTTAAAGCACTCGACCATGGCCTGAGAGGCCTGGTTCATGAGCTTCTGGGCCAGACCCAATCGGCGATAGGAACGCTTTACTGCCAGCGAGGTGATGTGCCCATGGCGACTCTCCTCATTGGGCTCGGGTTCCTCCATCTTGGCCAGGACATAGCCCACAATGCCGCCCTTGTCGTCCTCGGCCACGTAACTGAGTTGAGGCCAGGTGAGTCCATGGTAGAAGTAGTATTTCATCTGGTAGTTCTCGGGCAGGCACAGCAGATTGCAGTGCTGCATGGTCATTAGATCCTCGGGTTTGGCGCAGCGGATGTTCATGGTGGGGCTGTGGTTCTAGGCTCTTCTTGGGGTACTTTGCTGACTCCTAATCTCGGCGAGCTTTCCTGGCTCTACCCGGCTGCTGTGGCTGTAGATTCTGGTGATCCCAAGCGAGTGGCTGCTGCTCCTCCGGCTCTTCTTGACCCAACAGTTCACGAACCAGACGAAATTTCGATAGAAACGCCTTCCAGATGAGGAACCAGCCTTCAAAGAAAAAGGTATCGAAATTCTGGATGAGTTATATAGTTCGGGGCAATGAAATTCAACTCCAGGATGTCATGATGTTCGTCAGCGGGCGCCTGCTTACCCAACAAAATAATTGCTGCGACGATACTAACAGAGGCTAATATGGTGAAAACGAAAACCAAGCCCGTTTGCAGGGACATTCTAACGGGGTAACTCGAAATCAGGAAACTGTAAACATTAAACTATAGATGGAAACTGAAATTATAATTTAAAGCTACTAGTAAATAGGTTATTTTTGAATTTATTGCTGAGAATTAAATTTTTTCTCCTTGTTTTCTGAATTGCTGACTATCACAATAAAGAACAGCTGTCATTTTAGTGTGACCGTTTAATAACACTGTGGATTACCAGGGGTGCACTTGCACTACCAAATTGGGAGATATACTCCAAAAAGGAACAATAAAAACCAAATTTTAGACTTGATCAGCTTGGTTTATCACTATTTAGCAACATTTAAAGGGCTTTCTTATCTCAACATTTGTTTGGAGGTTCCTAACATTCATAACTTTCGTTGCCATCAAAAACCACATGGGGTTAGAAAATCCACTCAGCAATCTATAAAAACTGCCCTTGATGTCTGATGTTTAATTCCCTGCGACATGCAAACAGCGCATATTGGCCCGCGTTAGAATTTGTTTTATTTAATATCCACCTGGCTGTTTAATTTATATTCGCGAAAGAGCACACTTCTTGCACACCTTTTACACCGGCACCAGTATGACCAGAGACAACTAAGGAAATTATACCAAGCTGTGTAAAATTATACTAAACAAATCGTAAAGTGTTGGAAAACGTCTGTTTCTGACCAATTTAAAAATGAGCGGCACTAAACTTAAATATTAAGATAAGTTGGTAACAAGCCCTAACAATTTTATTTCTTCATAATTTAAATAGGTTTTGAATTCAATTTAGAAAAAATTTTAATATTTTTTTATTGAGATCTAGTATTTTAAATATACTAAGCTGTAATACCAAAAAGAGTGTATGTATGCTGGAACAGCTGATCTAATTTACCTGGGCAAAAACACAAAGCGATTAAACAAATGCTATTTACATTTGAAATCTAAGTGAAATGCAAGAATTTTCGGCAAAACGCGATGCACTGTTCGCTTGCCTCGACGATGCGAGCAAAGAATTGAGGGGCACTGCCTTGGATCAGAGCAAGGCCAAGTCGTTCTCCATCAACGCTCTCGATCGGGGCAACCAATCCGGAAACGCATCCGGATCCGGAGAGGTGATGAATTACCGGCATGGTCGTAGCATTGATGTTAGCCCCGATTCTGAGGATGGAAGACTGCGGCGGATGCGGGGCAAGGAGAGCATTTTCAAGAAGCCGGAACTTCCCATTGGTCGGTGTCTGAAGCCTAGGAAAACTCCAGATTACCAGGTGGGAGATTACCCTTTTGCCTCTTTAACTTCCTCTATAAATCCCTTATCCTTCTCTTTAGATCAATCCCCACAAATGGAAGAAGTACTCCCTGTCCGATGTGGACATCTCCGATCAGAGCAACTCCGCCGCCGCCCTATCTTTTCTCCGGCAAATGGACGCCCAGCGAGAAGCTGATGGAGATGAGGGTGAATCTGCTCATTCAGATGGCAAAATAGAGTTTAAAAAGACCAGCAAACTCAACCGCAATCTCAAGAAGCTTCAACAGCAGGAAGTGGAGGATGTGGAGCTGGATAAACCCCAGTTAAGGGGCTCGAAACTGGTGATGCCCGAGTACGTCATTGGCCAAAAGTCCCAGAAACAAAAGAAATCCAAAAACAAATCCAACCAGAATCGTGCTTCTGGTAAACTTCAACTCTCCCACTTGGCGGAGGAAGATGAACAGGATGAGTAGATTACAATCTATGGTCCTTAAATTATAAATTTAACAACTAGTGTCACCATAAGGATTTAAGAATGTAAATAGACTTTTATTATATAAAAAACTTGGCGGTTTGTCAAAAAATGCCATCGTTTATTTTTTAAATGTACAAATTCTTAAATTAGACTGGAAAACTTAGTTCGATTTCTGAAATCTGGCTGTGTATACTGGAATTGCTAAATTTTACAAAAATCTCGTTTGTCTGGTTTGTTCTTTAAATTTCTGATAGTTATCACATAGACATAATTTTCGTACCTTTAAATAAGGTATGCAAGTTACGTATTGAATTTGTAGGAGTATAAATTTTAAATTACAAATATTTAGCACGCGAACACAAAACACATAATCTAAAGACATACATAAATGCGACGATACAAACATAAAAAATACGATTAAGAAATGCAAATATTCAGTCGGGAATGCTTTCACCATGGGCAGTGGCTGCGACTACTCGCTGTAGAAGCCCGGATTAAAGAAGAGTTTCTTGTTGAAGCCAAGATTATCAAAGGCGCCGGTCTGCATGGAACCCTTTTTGGTTCGCATGTTGCCCACGGAGGCGTGTGTCTTCTTTAGGATATCTTCGACATTCGTGTTGTGGGCATGCTCGGCCATCACGTCGCAGAACTTCTGGATGTACCAGCTGCCCGTCTCGGGATCCCTGTGGGTAACATAGCCCGGCGTATTGGCATAGCAGACCAGAGTGTCCGCGAGAGTTGGCACGTTTGTGTACGCCGAGGACATGCCCTCCGTCTCAACCTCGGGCTCCTCTTCCTGCTGCAGCGTATACAAAGGTTCCATGGGGTCGTACTGGCCCTTTGGCTGCCCCAAATCATGATGATCGCCACGGCAAAAGGGGAAGATAAGCACCTTTGGCTTGTGCACCAACAAAGGACTGATGTTCGCCTGAAAGTGGTTCTTTATCTTCTGCATATCGACCACCGATCCATCGCAGAACTCCACCTTGTCTATCTCCTGCACGCGATTGCCATGCGTCATTAGCACCATCACGAAACACTCGGTGTTCTGGACATACGACGAGGAGGTGACCTGACGCAGGATATCAAAGAACTGATGTTGATTCATGTTTCCGTAGGCGAAAATCGTGAAGCCCAGCTCGCGGAACAAGTGAATCAACGAGTTGCTGTCCACCTCGGCTCCATTTCGCTTGCGTTTGGGATCTGGGAAGTCCATGATGTTCACCATAAGCAAAACGCCGCGGTTCAAACGGGATCGCATCTTATATGTGCCCACCACGTCGTCTGTGTAAATTTTGTCCGACTTTTTAACGTCGCGGTGGGGTCCCTCGACGGGCGCCAGGTAAGGGGTGAGTGGTCCAAGTGGGTCATTAAGGGGTTTCTGAAAGGCAGACAAAGCAATAAAGATAAGTTTCTGCGGTGGTTCTATGACTTATTAAATAGTTTATCAGCCCAAATACATTGAATCATAACTTGCTGCTGTTATCTTATGGTGAAATTCTTAAAAGGAAGTCAGCCACTTACTTATATTTCTTTTTACGCAGTGTAATTATTAACTATCAACATCACTTCTGGCTTCGAAACATTTTATTAAAACCTCAAGGTTAAAGAGCCTATCTCACTGGGAGAATAAGTAGGATAGGTTATGGTAGCTAAATAAACAAATTATATAGCTCGTACCTTAAACTACACCTCACCTCATCGTTTAAAATTTGTATAACAGCTTTGAATGACCGATTTTAGCACAACATATATATAAAACAGAATTAGCTTATCGTGTGACTTCATTTAGACCACACATTGACTGAATCAGACTTATTGTTTGTTTATCAACAAAGCTTTTATCATTTCGGGCTATGCATGACATAAGCCCAATAAAATACCTATATCTGAATTGTGCAAAAAAAATTAAAAGTCACTTGAGCTTTAAAATGTTTACCCTAAGAACCATATATGGTACAAGATAAACATGGTGGCATGATCCCGCCATTGCCTAGAATGCTTCAAAATCATGTCTCCAGATGATTCATTGGATCACTGACCTACCAATTGACTGTCCTTGAACCAAAAGAAATGACTTTATATCAGACTGACTAGCTCGGACCTGAAATTAGGTCAGACATATTTCTGGAACCTATCTAAGTGAATATTTGAAAAAATTAAAAATTCAAGTCCAACAAATCAATCACGCGGCAATCATAACAAATTAGACATATACGCCGCCGAGCCACGCCGCCGCCGCCGCCGATTTTTTGCTTTTTTGACGCGCCGCCGCCGAGTCACGTAAAAACCGGCGCGGCGGCGGCGGCGGCGGCGTTCGGCGTCATACAAATTTTTATTCATTTTATAAATAAAAAAGGTTATTATTAATATATCCTAAAAAAAATTTCGACAATAATCGCTTTCAGTTATCGATTAAATGTAAGGAAAGTTTTTCTTAAGAATTTTTTTTAATAGTTTAATAATGAAGACAATGAATTTCAATTTCAATCAATTTCAATAAATCTCAAAACTGTCAAGTCAAGAAAAGACAATGAATCTCAAAACTGTCAAATCAAGAAGAGACTGTTATTTTGTTTTAATTTTAGTTTAAGTTGTTATTTCGCTTTACTTACTTATTAATTATGAAGTCAATAATTTCAGTTTAATTTGTTATTTCGCTTAACTTACTTATTAATTATCAAGTCAAGAAAAGGCTCTTATTTAGTTTTAGTTTAATTTGTTATTTTGCTTGACTCACTTATTAATAAAAGGAAAAAAAATCAGTTTATTAAATGCTTACGCCGCCAGCCGCCGACAATTTCACCGGCGGCGTACCCGCCGCCGCCGCCGGTTCTTTCTAACGGCTACGCCGCCGCCGCTGGGTAATTTAGAACTCTACGCCGCCGCCGCTGCTGAAACCATCGGCGTAAACCTCTATAACAAATATAACGAGTCCCCAGAGCAAAATACAATTGTAAAAAGTAAAAGAAACCTGTTTTTGTAAGATGCATAGGTCATTGACCCACAATGTTATTTCACCATAAATGGTTTGCTTTCTTAGCCTCCCCGCAAGAAAACAAACCTGTTGCCTGTCTGAAGGGGCCCGATTTTAGATTGTAAGACTAAGGATCTCACCTTGCTGGCACAGGCTCCCTCGTAGGCCTCTGGCGACCGAGTGTCCACGATATCGGCCGACTTCCGCCGGGTGTTTCGTTCGTTCAGCGATATGAACGGTGGCCTTGAGCCGGACTCATCGACGGATTCCAGCAGCTTGGCAGCATCCAGACAATTGACCTTTCGCAAGGCAGTGATCAAGAGGTTGTAGGCAGTGGGACCCCGCTGGGTGATCTTCAGGAACAGCCGACGATGCTGCTCCAAACGCACATCCTCCTCGTCCATGTTGAACCGCTTCCCATTGAGATCCTCCGCATTCCGCAACATCTGAACGGAGAGGATTCCCTGGTGGACGCATTCCGCGGCCAGTAGGCCATAGTTTGTCGACTTCACCAGCAAGTCCAGATTCTTGCGTATGTGCTCGCGATGCTTCTTCAGCATTCCAATCTCTCGTTCCGGCGGCTGCATTCCGGATGTGGTTATTTTTTTTTTCGTTCCGGGGACTCCGCTTACTTGGAACTCCAAGGATATGTGTGTTTTTTCCAACGGCAGTGATCAGTCTCCAATTGGCAGTGATATTGGCAGTGAGTCACCCAAGGTTTTTCCGCAACTGACTTCGTTTGGCGCTCGATTCGTTTCTTTGTCTCCGCTTTGTTGTCGTCTGGGTTCTTGTTCTTGTCTTGACTTTCGTCGGCGGGGGGGCAACAATCGACGGCCCTGGCGGTGTCCTTATTTTTCCAAAAGCAAATTACCTAGTCTACGTATTGCACTAGACGATCCTGCGAAGGATCAGGGATCTTCGAATAAGATTTCTTTTGAAACAAAAGGATTTTTCGGGCTCTTCCGCAGCCACTCAGCGCGTTCGAACTACTCTAATCTAATTGAGATAAGTGTGACCACTGCGAGTTGGCCCGTTTTTACCCCATATCGCGGGTGGGAAAATACTGCTGTTATACTGTTATATTTATAATATTAGAGGTATTCCCTTAATTGTTGAATCGGTGAACAGCTATACTGTTATACTTTAAACATTAAAGTATATTTTATTAATTGTTGAATCCTTGCAATTCGGTCAGTTGTTTATATTTTAGATATTCAAAAACTTTGAGTTCATTAAAATGAGGGTTGCATGCTTGTTATTCAAAAGTTAGATGTTTTAATTTTCAACAGTAACAATTAAGGGAAGTTTCCACCATTGCTGAAATCTCTACTGAATATTCAACGTTTTTGCAACTCAACAGTTAAGCTAACCCTAAACGTATTCAACACAAATATTGGTTCCAAATTAAATTAATAAATGTATTTCGAAAGAATAATCAGTTTAAATATTTTGCTATGCAAAAAATACCACTATATTTTATAAAGAAAATACTAAACGTTATGGTCACCCTAATTCGTCTGGTCCAAAACGCGCAATTCGCAAAACGTAAACAAAGGCCATGGAGGAAAAACAATCCAAGCCGGAAAACCCGGAGCAAAAAAGCGAAGTCAAAACTTCTAGCCTTCCCAGGCAAGTCAAACTGAAGGCCCAAAGGCAGCTAAACAAGATGGGCTACTCGCAGCAAGTTCTGTTGGAGGCATCCAAATACAATAACCAGGACTATACAAACGCTGTTTTCCGTATGTTTTATAAATATAACTTGACAAAAGTATGTAACCCTGATCCTCTACAGAATACATGTCCACCACAATGGATAGGGGCATGGAAATGGTGAAAAATTGTGACTCTGTCAGTCTGAACAACATCACCCAGTGGCTGGAACTGATGAAGGGTGCCCAACTATCTGATCTCTGCGAATTCGAGGCAGCTGCGGCTGTAAATTCCATCATCCAGAATGAGAGAAAACCAGATCCAAAAGACCTTGATGGCATCGACTTGAAGTAAGAATAAGCGGGGAGTTACGATTATCTACCTTTACACGTCATATCTTAACATTCTGTAGATCTTGCAAGTTATATTTCCTAAATTACCTTTCACAGACCTATCTAGTATACCTAAAAACCAAAGACTTTTTAATCCAAATGTTGCGATTGTTCTATTTCTAGAATTCCCTTTTAATTTAAGTATATCTCACACTAGAAATATCATATTTTTGCGGACTATATTATTTTCTAAAAGTTAACCCACCCTAATACATTTGACATCACAATTATACTTTTCAGTGAAGCCTATAAGTTTGTGGAAAATGCGCTGATGGGTCAGCCCCAAAAGAAGCTGAGTGATGCCACCAAGGAATTTCTGTCGAAAGAAATTGAGGTGAGCAGAAAGTTACCCTCTCCAAAAGTATATTCCTAATTGTAGAATCTCCCCGAACAGCTCCTTATAGAGGAGGCCAATACCGACGACTCAGATGATATGGCCCGCAGCATGGGACAGTGCCTATATAACCATCAGATTTTGGACTATATGGATCAGCCCCATAAATGCAGCCTGGACCCACTTTTCCTGGACGAAAATCTTACATAGAGGATAGACAGTAATTATAATTAGGCCATTTATTCATTTCCACACATTTATTAAACATTTAAATTCAATTGGTTTTTATATACGTACATTGTCACATGCATTTGCACTTTCCCATCTTCAACCAACCATCGATCCCACGTTTATACATTAGTATTACTATGCCGAATGCCCCAACCTTTGTACGTATTAATATTCGATAATTACACTCATAATTTAGTACTTGACTATAAACAGTTTTAGCACATTTAAAATCTAGAATTCCTTTAGTTGTACACATTTACTTCAAGTAGTGTAAGTACGAGTATAAGAAAAAGTTTGGGGTCTTTGGCCTTGGATTCTCTCAATTGCATAACATTTATTGTGCATGATTGTTTTCAAGTTCTGGTTGCCAATTTGCATTGCATAGACTAGAGTAGAGATAGGTAGTTTAGTTTTGGTTTTGCTTTGATTAGCTTTGTTTTAAACTTTAAGAGGCATAAAAACAGTTGAGTGCTGCTTGACTCCCACAGCATCACAATAGAATCACAAGAGACAGAGTTGGCTTCTTTTCAATTTCGTTACAGGTTCTAGGATTTCACACTTACGATAACATAACATACATACGATCAGAGTTACATACAAATTCGAATACAAATATAATACCCTTTAATATTAACCGTAGTTACTCTCATTAAAACGATCTTCACACAATCAAATGCAATTCAATAATGTACATAATATAATTCTTAAATGTTCAGTCCAGTTTGAGCTTTTGGTTTTCCCCTTTTTTTTTGGTATGTTTAGTTGTGTGTCTTCACGTAAACATTAATTAAAATTAAGTAAATCTAATTATGTATAAGTACGATTAAACGCTAGTAAACCATATCGATATGCCTTGTCTAAGACCGCAAAACGTAACCGAAATGAACAAAAAATTCAGACTGAACAAAATGCAAAGCAGTTTCAGGTGCATGGCAAGGATATGCTGGAGTTTCAGGATCATTAGCCGGCATCAACCAAATGCAGATCCAACGGATCGAACAAACACAACGACAACAACGTAACAGAAAATCGTAACTGGTAGATAGAAATTCGTAATTGGTATAGAATTAGTGTCGGTAGAATTTTGATTGTCCCGTTCCCGTTCGTGTTATTCAGAGCATAGATCATTCGTGTATATAAAGTAGGTTTTAGCGTGTCCTAGGTAGAGTTCGTCTTGCATTTAGCTTGTATACATATATAAATTCATATTTGGTTTTTTAGTTATTCACTTCTATTCCGCTAAACATACCACAACAATGATAATCGATTTAATTGCAGTTTACGTAATGAATACATTAATGACGTCGTCACTATATAAAGTTTCAAGAGTTTACCATATACCACACTTATACGCATATAGCATAGCTGCCCAACTATACAAATTGACTACAAATTTGAGATTGAGATTGCCTTCAGGAACATCGGCTTCATTAATTGTTCTGGTTCTATTTCGGATCGGTAGATATTGGATCGGTGGACCTTGGGTTGGATACGTGTATTCACCTTAGTAGTAGTTTTGGGGTGTGGTTCGAGATATTCCGGTTGAACAGAGTGTATATATAATGGATTGAATGATGGGGAATATATATGTGAGTCATCACTGTAAAGCGCAGGCGGGAACCCTCGAGGCTCTTGGCTAAAAATAAACTTCTCTTCGTGTTCGTGGTTATCAATATTCATTATTTTTTGATTGCGTTTGCTATAAAGCTCTGTGATAAGTTTGATTTTCATGGTGCTAGGTACGATGTATGTAGGTACACGAATTCCTCTAGTTTGATTTCTTATTTATATCCGAGGTAGCGACATGATTGATGTTTGCAAAACAAATAAAGAATTTATATTTAAATTTGTATTTTTCTTCACTTGCTTCTTCGCATTATGATATGGTTCGGTTATTAATGGTTTAAATTAAAAGATTATTGGCATGATATATGTAAGTTATATGACACATAAAGGAATATTTCACACGTATTTTGGCCTAGCGTAAACATTCATAATAAATATATTCAAGAATAATTAGGGTTTCTATGAATTGATTGCATTCTGCATAATGTTTTTTTGTTTTCTCTGGATCGTGTTTTTTTGTGATTGTAGGATTGTGTTTGACACTTTTGTATTTGTATTTGATAAATTACAATTAATTTGTGATTATTATGTTGCTTTGGTCACATCGATTTGGATTGGCTAACAACATTTAGAGATTTGACTGAAAATACTTAGTTAAGCTTGCTCTTGGTATACGTTTACAATTTTATATTCATATGCCGCTAATATAAGTTGATTACTGGTGTTTCATAAATGGACCGAAATTGCATTGAAAAGTAATTGGATTCTTTTGAATGTATTTATCTGTGTGCGTTTCTGTATCTTTAGTTACGTCCGGAGAATAGTTGATACTGTAATAGAGTTGTTGCAAGATAATTAGGCCATCAATCTGGTTGTTCGGTTTCAAACGATTTTCAAAATACATATAAAGACTATTGGTTGTATTGTTACATAATTAGGAATTATTTAGCTACTGGGCAAATACGATGGGAACTGCGGAAGCTACTTGGTTTTGAAGTATCTCGCACTCCGTTACGGATATTACGTATATTACGGGAATTACGAATACGGGAAAACATCAAATATTTGGAGCCAAGAAGAGAGAAAGAGGCACACACAATATATTGTTATTATAAAGAGGATATGTATATTAGCAAAAGGGGTGGGACACACATCGGGTTCGGTTGTCATGCATCGATTCGATTCTCGGGTTCTGATTCCTATTTCCGGTAATTGCGGGATGGAGTATCTGGAGTAACTGGATTATCTGGGATCTGTTGTATTTGGGTTCAACTGGTTACGCAATGCAAACTACGAACATCTAACTAGGATCAACTTACGGCTAGGTGTACGTGTCTGTGTTGGATTTCCACCGGAACCGGATGTGGGTGACTACAAAACTACTACTAAGGTACAATTGTGGATGAGTGTGGGTATAATCGCAGGTTTTCGGTGACTCTCACCTCCGGTTCACTTACATACGATCATCAAGCAGAGCTATGCCTGTCTATAGGTATCGGTAGCTACTCTTTTTCGATCTCATCAAGTTAGTAAATATACTGGTATATTCTTTAAGATTTTTTGTCGCACAATCTACGCACTACGCACTTGGAATGCGAGAACCTTTGAACTCTTAAGGCACATTTTGAAGTATAATCATAATCATAAGTACGGCGAAAGCAAAATTAAAATTTAATATGCATAAGCGGGCGGGAAGGGGGTTTTCGGGATTGAAGGTCAAAGCAACACTGATTGTGCAAAAGCCAAGTATACATTTAACAATTACAATAAATTCGCAATTACTTAATCGTAGTAGAGTAAAATACAATACAAATGCATATAAACATCTGGTAAGTCGGTTAACAGATTCATATAGTTTAGATCGATATAGGTATGCAAGATAGCAGGTATAGCAGCCTTCTGAAGCCTTCAGTGTCAGTCAATCAATCAAGTTTACACAAATATATATTTTATAATATTTTTATGATCAGCAGTTTAATTCGATTTATCAGCTTAAGTTTTCTCTTTTGCTTATCTCAATATTCTGTTGTTGTATTTTCAGAATATACATAGTGCAGTTCAGATGGGCAGAAAGTAAAATGGCAAGTCAAGTAGTACAGAACGTTCACAATGCCATGGAAAACGTCAATTCCAAAACATTTAGGAACACCACAAATATTTTACAGATGCAAGAGTAAAAAAAAACTGAAAAAATTGCATGCGCATGCATTTCAACGGGCTTTGTATATTATTTCTTCATTTTGTTTTCCTAGAAAAACTACAGAAAAAGCTTCTGTTTCACCTATATTTCAGCATATGGTTAATTATTTAGTCCAATGGAAAGGGATTTCCTATGAGAATTTTTGGTTGGCATGCAGTTTATTAACTCTCAATTTGGGTGGTTGGATCTAAGCAGAAATATAACCTATTGTGTTCGAAATGTATTTTAAATATGTATGTACATTTTAGAAAAAGTTTTCCATGAATTTAGACTTTTTGTTGAAATATCTGTATCAAGAGGCAACCAATTTTTAAAATTGAAAATATACAACCAAAGTTTCCATAAAATTGAAATATTAATGGTTAAAAAATAAATTTACAACTCTATGTTGGGAACACACTTATAGACCGTAATTTATCAAACTTTAACTCCTTAAGAAGGGAATTTTAAGACAAGGTGAAGCTGGAAAACCGTGCAAAAATCTTTTTAAAACTGTATGTAACTTCTTTCAATAAAATGAATTTAAATATATAATTTTAAAAATAAATAGGTACTAAAACACTAGTTTATACCTTGATTACCGCAATATATAGGAACTTAACTGTATTAACTTAAAGTACGTTTCTAATGGTAACTATCCTATCATATCGTATGACTCTGGGTCAAACTAACTAACTCGTAAGAGTGTGAGCGGGAAATATGTCCTTTAATACGACACAAATCCGATAAGTTCATAGTGCAGGTGCTTAAGCTAAACTAGCTGGTAATGTGGGCTTTAACAGTAATAACACTATCGTGGGATTTACAAGGACGATAACCAGGACGACAATGATAAAGGATTCAATTTGGGTTGACATCACGTCCCGCACATAAACACACACACATGCAGCGGTGGCCATAGTGTTTGTGTGTGGATGGGAAATTCTGGGGATTCTTTGAAATTTGATTTTCCAATGACTAATTGAATTCGACAATTCACAAGGTCGTTTGTACTCTTTTTCTTTTTTCATTTTCGGGCGGGGATTTAAAATCGATTGGAGTGGCAATAACTAAGATAATTAATAATATCAATCAATAATAAAGATAAACTGTAGTAGTATCCAATTCGGGCTATGTGGTGGATAACTTTGTTACGATTTCAGATATGTTTCAACATTAACACTTATGGTACATACAAATATTGAATAAATTCTCCAAAAAACAACAGTTGTGTATTCGTTCTATTAGTATGCATATATATAAATATTGGTTTAGTAATTAGTTTTAGTATCAGTTGAGATTCAAGTTTTATAAGTAAGTAAGTAGTACGTATGGCTAGGCTATAGTAGGTCTCACATAGGTACGTTCATTCATTGGTTTTGGCATATATATTTTGCTACATTTTACCCTCTGCCCCTGATGCAAAATTTGATTTCGTTCCAGTTTCAGTTTTGATTTCATTTACCATATATACTCTATAGTTTTGATCTGATTGGTTTTTTTGGGGTCTGCTGCTTAACTCCTTGGCGGATTGAGATTGAGATTCATGCTCCGCAGCTTGGCCTTGTAACGCACATTGTTGAGGCTCTGATTGAAATTGAGGCCGTATTGTGGGCCATAATTATAACCGGTATTGTAATGGTAATTGCTGGTGCTGGCTGAACCGTATCTGCTGGAATCGGCGTTGGCCGGAGCCTCGCCGATTTCGTTCAGATCGTATTATTGACTGAATGTGATATTGAGTGACGGACACTTTCGGACGTTGCTGTGGCTGTTTCGTGTGCCATTGACCCGCAACAGCGGCACCGGGCTAACCGTGCCGGATACGGAAGTTAATTGTCTTACCATGCCGCTGCCCAGCTGCTGCAGTAGCCCCGATCCGGAGCCAAGTGGACCCGACGACAGGACGGTGGACTGGCGACGCGACCTTATCGACTGCATGCTAGATGATAGCAGGAACGGTACACTGCTCGAGGTGTTCGGCATGGAGCCACCCTGTTTTTGGGAGTACAATAAAGGAGATTTCTTTGGAAGATTAGTCGGGGCTTGTTATTGTTAGCATATACTATATATATATATCTTTTTTTTTTATTCGGATGCGTTCGGAATCGAGTTTAAATTACATATTATATCATTTGGTTTCAATTGTGCTATGTACAGGGTCTGCAATGTGGGGGTGTGCGTGTGTGTGTGTTGGTTGAACCCAAGCCTTACCGACGGATAAGTATACATTGAGCTGATGGTGCAACAAACAAACAATCGAACAAACCAACAAACAAACAATCGAACAAAGCAACAAACAATGAAAGAAAGCCAAACTCGAACTCAATCAATCAACGGACAGGAGCAGGTTGAATCGAATCGAAAAACATTGATACAAACGAATTGCAGAACACAGAAAAAGTCCAACTGATTGAGAACATATATGGGGTATATACGGATAGAGGTATGTTTGTACATATGAGGCTGAATGCGCTTCGGGTATTTATGCATATATATTCCAAATCAAATTTGGCCTCGCAGACATGAAAGGCAGGAGGGTTTTGGGCTTGGGGTTGGGGCAAATGAAATCAAATTACATTAACATAAAATTTAATATCAGCATACTGCGTGTGCGTGTGTGTGAGTGAGTATTTGGTTGTGTGTGTGCTTGTGTCTAGACCTTAAATAGTTGAGAGGCGGAAAAATAGGGAGTGAGCTGAAGAGACTGAAAGAGAAAATTAAATGGAAATTCCGAAATTATGAAACGTGTACTCACGATCATGCTCCGTGCAAGCTGCGAATTTGTTTTTTTTTTTATTTATACGTATATTCGATTTTTGTTTCATTAATTTTTTGTTCGTACATGAAATGAAGAACGGAAATATACACACATGAAATAAACGCAATCTTGTGTTTTGTGTTTTTTTGTTGGCTGAATAAAGGAACAGCGCGAGGTAACATCAATTCACAGCGTTGTTTTTCAACAATTCAACAGCAGAAAAACACGAAATTCTGGCTTTCCATTTGTGTCAGCCATTAAAATACATATATGAAGAGAAAGTATACTATAGTATTCATGTTCTGGTGTGTCTGGTATTTGGTGTTTCAATAGTTTCTTTCTGATACGAACGCAACAGGAACAGAGTTAAATGGAAACGAAATCAAATTAACACTGAGCACGATCAGGACATTTAATGAAGAAGTAGTTATATAGTATAGGTACAGTATAGTATAGTATAGTATAATAAACATAAGTTGTTGTAGTTTCTGTTGATTTTGCTCCTTGGTTTAGGGGTTTATTGTTTCTTCAATGGCTGTCAAAACTAACCATATCAACAGTTTTTAGAAATGGTTGGTAATAAGTGTAAGCTTTTCTTTGGTTTCGATTGTGTAACTGGTTTCCTATCCCGGTTTACGAAATCTTAAGTATTGATTTTTCGTTTAAAACAGACCTATCAAAGTAAAATGTATAAAGTATCTTTTATTAAAAAAAATATTAGATAATGTATCAAAATAAAAAAATATGTATTGAGTTATGTTTAAATATTACATTCTTCTTGTTATCATATATAACATTTTTTAGCAATAATTTTCATACAAATTTTTTTTCTATGGTTTTAAAGACATTCATCCTAGAGCCCTAAAAAGTATGCTCTAATATATGTATCCATTCTTGAACTCGACGCATTTGATTGATTTTTCCTTTATCAATTCAATTACTTAGCTGAAAAGCCTCCCAATCCTAAAATGTACATCTCAGAATTTTATTTTTTCGATACCCTCCTTCACTGAGGGCTCTTTGTTCATACTTAGAAATCATAATGGGATACGTAGTTATTTAACGAAAATAATAAGAACACCAAAAGACAACAGAAACGGAACAGAGTCGACTGCATTGTATATACACCGTACTGGATATTAGCATAGGCTTTTGTTTACGCCATAACCCAGAGAGATAGAGACAGAGAGAACGGAAGTACAGGCAGACATAGTTCAAGAACAGGACTCTTGAAACTGAATGAGAACCACACAAAAATGAATTACATGTAGAGGAACAGATAGCAGCAGCGCAGCAAATGCACAAAACATGTCGGAAATGAAAACAGAACGCACAAAATATATAACTTAATCGTCAAATTAAAATTTTAAATACTCTTGCAACAGGTTTTCCATCCAAATAACAGCACAAGAACGAGTACGAGTACGAGTACGAGAACGAGAACGAGAGATTTAGGCAGCAAGTCAAATTCATATTCAAACGCAGTTGCAGTTGCAGTCTCAAAAATACGATTATATATCGAAAAAGGCCAGCGAGAGACGGGTGCGAGCGGGCGAGCAATAGAGGCGGAAACGGAAGCGCATCCTTTCGGCTTCCGTTCGCCATTTTGCCTGGCAATCGTTGTATTGTTCGAGTGATTTGTGTATGGGTAGAGAGGACAGAAAGTTAGCTTTGAAGTGCTTTTGGAGACGACAACGATAACAATGAAACGACAGTTAACAACTTGGCAAGGCAAAGTCCATTTCGATGTTGGCTTAAAGTGCTGCCGACAACTCGCACAAGAATTGCAAACGAATCCGTTCAGATAGGCCTGACCATGTTTTTGGTGGTCTTGTACCCTTGAAGAGGCTTAGGGAATTATGGAATAAAGTCATAGACATTTCCTAGAATTTTAACCTTAATATTTGGTTGTTTTTAGTTTTACTGAAAAATAAACTCAAATATTTTTTCAGAACAAGATCGTAATTGTAATATGATTATATATTGGTATATTAGTATATTACTATTTTTAACCTTTGTATAAATACGGATTCAACATATTTTACTTTCTTATTATAGTTTCTTTAAAATATATAAAGTATTCAAAAATTATGATGCTAAAAATATTCCTTTAATTACTGCCTTCAAGGGTACAATATCTTCGACTTGGTCGAAGCTCGTAGTGTTGACTGTAAATCTGCATTCACATAACTGGGATTGCTTTGTTTTTTAGACTTACAACATAGACCGAGGTGGATGGCACCGATAGACTCGATCCGGAGCTACCGCGGGCACCGTACTATATATATGGAAGGAGATATACAAATTCATGGCGATCGAAAGACCCCGAAAACACCGTAGTATGTTTTGGTATTTTTGATTTTTTAAGTATTTGTTTTTTGT